GGTGCATGCACTGGCCATAAAGATAAAACAAAACTCCCTGGTAAGGGTCTCCTAATTTTTAGCCATTTAGGGTATACTACCATGATCCTTGGGGGCCACTCTGCCATTACTTCAGGACATCAGCTTTCAGGCCTTACCTCCGAGGTGCTAGGAGGGCCAGTCATTGCTGGTCCATGTGTCAAAATGTCCAAGGCCATGTCCATTGTACAGAGTCTCCAGGGTTATTGTAGTCAGTGCTAGTAGCAAGATATTATTCTGGTGGCCAAATCTCAGCTTCAACGATCCCTCCTTGGTTTGTACTTGCAGTTGTATAGGGGAGGCAGCAATGTGTGTTAGCAAGTCTGCGGAGCTCAATGTACTCTTCCAGGGCTTCTCATTCAAATACCATAGCACTGTCCCTAAGTGGACTGATCACCCCTGTAGACTACTGGTGTCTGACTTCAGGCCAGATTTTCAGTTGTGTAGGGGACGTCCCATGTTGCTGTGGGACTCGGTGTAAATCCCTTTCAGAGTATCAATATATTCTTGCCAGGCTTAGCTGACTTCTTCAAAGGTCAAAGGTACCCCACGAATGGGCAACAGCCCACATTGTCTTCTGTCCCAAATGCCAACACAGCTGGGCCAATTCATTGGCTTCATCAATTCCTGGGATTGCCCGTGGCAAATGGCCTGTCACATGATATACGGTAACTATTTTAGTATGAACAGAGGCCTGTAAGTCTTACAACTCTTGCCTCCAAAGAGGTCAGTAACCAACCAACCAGTCAGCATGGTACCATGTCAGTAGCCACAGTCAAGCCTCAATAATGGCCTCCATAGCCAGCAAGGAATGGTACATGGCAGCCAAATGCTTCTCTACTAAGGTGTACCATACCTTGGCTCCTTCCCAGAATTGGGACCGGAATCTAATAGGTTAGCAAGTTTGTTCAAGCTCCAAACTTGGCCCCCCTATCAGAGGCCCCAGCCATAAGCATCTTTGGTCACAAAGACATCTAACTTGCAGAGCCTTGGTGGGTCTATCACACTCAAGGCCTACACAGCACATGTTTTGTTCTAGTTCCTCCTAATGCCCTTTCATACCAAAGGATATAAGGGCTTCAGAATTTGTGCCAAGTATGGGATAAACACTCTCCAGTAGCCTAAAAGATGAAAAAACCTTGCAATAGTGTTATAGTTGTCTAAGAGAATGAGAAATAAGAATAACATCCTACACAGTATTAGATGCCCTATTCCCAACAGGATTCAGGCTTGTTTCATTCTGAAATAATAGCCTTGCTCCCATATCCATCTGTAATAGCAGTGATCCCAGGAAGCTGCTCAGTTTTGCCATAAATCAGTGAGCATTCAGCTTCTGTGTCTACAAGAGCCAAGACATATTGTACCTTCACTGTACATTCAATATATCAATGAAACGATATTTCAACATGTATCCTCCAGTCCCCATGAAGTCCCCCAAAGCAGGTGTCTCGACCTTCCCCTCAGTCAAACAGTATCACCCAATTTCTTCCTATGAGGGTCCAGGTGAGATCAGCTCACTCTCCAGCAGGAAATCTTGCAGGCACACAAGGTGGACTTGTGGCTTTGTCTCTGGCTTCCCTTCTTGGTACTCAACAGCTGAAACCATTGCTCTGGCTTCATTTATTGCCACAGTACAATTAAGATCCTATTTGACTTCCTATCCAATTTCTATGTCTGCTCCTGCTTTTATCAAATCAACCCACATATGGGTCCTTGTGACCTTAACTGGGCTCTTTGAACTCTTCCTCTCAATAGTGAGCCATACTCCCTTCTGTGCCTGCATTGCTTCAGCTGCCCCCCATCCCCAAATCTGCCGCAGTATGGATAACTGAATTTATGGGCTGTTCTAAGTGAGAGGCAAAAATGGTCATTAATGGCCCAAAGAAGGACGAAGGAGCCATTTGCTGCACTGTATCCCTCATCCCTTCTGTAAGCAGTTCCACTTCTGGGCCATAATTTACTAGGTTATATAGGCATTTTTTATGCCCAACTACCACAACACCTGCTGGAGCATGGCATGTGTCTTCCATCTAATGGGGGAAGATGATAAGTCACCCTGTTTGGGCCATATAGTGTGAAGGGTAGCCAACAGTCATTCAAGAAGGAAAAGGGTCCCAGGGGTCTAGTGTGCATTCTTCAGTCACTGATATAAGGGAGGACGAGTTGTTAGGGAAGCCAGCTTTCCTATCTCTGATCCAGACACATTGATCATATCCACCTCCACATCCTAAGGGCACAGAAGTCAGGCTGACATGGACTCTGAGGGTTTCTGCTGAAACCGGGAGCCCAAATCTACCAGGTCTGCCTGTGTATTGGTGCAGAGCATGGAGTGCTCCACAACCTGGGAGGAGGGTTTCTCCTCTCCCGGAGGAACCCACAGTTGCTGTGTCTTCATTTTTTTAACTACTACTAGGCAGGATTTCAATAGATGAGGGGTTGGTGCCACCAGAGGTACCACCTTTACCTCCTCATTCTCCCCTGGCATATCCCCCACCATTTCTGGGGCTGACAGCAGCTCTCTCGCCACTCCACAGAATGTCTTCTCTGCTGCATCCTTTACATCCTTTGCAGTGATGCTTTCTCAGTCTTTAACAACTATCTACCTTCTCCTCAGTACCTTGCAGCTGGCATTCTTATGCTGCCTTTTCTCATGCTTCTCACAGTAGTACATCCTTCTCCTTCATATCCTTTGCCTCTTCCACAGCACCTTGCAGATCATGTTCTCATGTTGCCACTTCTTATGCTTTCCATAGGGTTTGTTGTTCCACTTCATGGCCTTTCTTAACACTATGATAAATAGCCAACCCATGGCTCCCCCCACAACATGAACACTCTGTTTCTCTGAGAATCTCCCAATCTTGTGGAATGCTTCTATCACTGCCTTAGGCATCATCTCCACCTCTGGGAGGGGTCCACTCCTCTAGGAGGAAAACCACTCAGTCCACATGCCCTTCGGGGGATACTCAAGTATCTCCTCATCTATAGGGGTTTCCTTCAGTATTTCCCCACACATAAGGGCAGCCCATTGAAACACCCCTCCCATGAGGGCAGCTTGTTCTGCTTTTTGGTCTGCAGTGAATCCTGCTGACTACACCAATTGTTGCACTGGAGGTTTCCAGCTTCAGGCAAGTTCACTCTGGGTTCAGTAAAATCAAATGACAACAGAATGTTGGGGATAAAAGGCCTTATACCAAGCTTTATTCTAGAGGTGATAGGTCAAGTGCTAGAGTCCCATCCACATCCAGCAAGTCCACAATCCATCTCTGTCTCTGCCTCTAGGCAGAGCACCAGGTGGAGCTCTTTATACAGCAACACAGACAATAATGGCTCAAGTAACAGGTAAGAAAAATGAGTTGATTTAGGAAAAACATTAAGAAAGTACAATTTGGGTGGTACTGAGATAAGGCCAACATCTTGAGGTGACTTGACAATGACTGGGGTAAATGCTGGCAGAATGGTACAGAGTGGTACAGAGCCTGGCACAGGACCCCAGCTTGGCCACTTAATAGCTGTCAGATTCTGCATCTGTAAAAATCTTCCATAGGGGCATGCTGGGAGAATTTTACAAACCCACCTAAAGCTTTTAGTATAGTTCTGACCAACCAGTAAGCCCTTAATCAATGACAGTTGAAATTTTTCATCAAATAAAAATCTTACCCAAGGACCTTTTAGCAACCAAACAAATCAAACCCCTTGCACTGGATGAATATGAGCAAAGAAGAGTATTGTTAGGAAAATCATATATAGCTGTTAAGTTTGTTTTTAGGAACTGATGAAAACATGGCAACAAATTGACCTTTAATTACTTTTCACTTTTTTTAAACTAAATATATATGAATTTATTATACAGCTTTTTGTGTAGGGTCTGTGTTTTTTTAGTGTTTACATCTTCTAAAGTGTTTAACATGGAATTTTTGCCTACTTGGTTCTTAATAAAGAAGCATTGAGATAGCTATCACATATATCAATTCATTTTTAAGATTTCCATATGGACCATGACTTCAGAAGGCAGTAAATAATCATACAACACACAGCTTTTGGATAGATGTATTCTGCATCCTCAGTAAGGAAACTCCTCATATTTTGTAAAACATTACCAGAAATTCTCTAAATTTTCTCAGTATTGTTATATTCTCTGTGCTGTGTTTGTCTACCCTGTTTGTGAAATCATATATACCAAGTCCTAAAAAATTAGATGTGTTGTTCCATGGCCATGCTCCCTGGGCCCTCTTTCATCTAACGTGGAAGGCCACTAAATGGAGGATGACCTAGAGCAAGCCCAGGCTTTGGCTTAAGGTCTGAAAGCAAGAATTTGAATCTTAGCTTCATTATATGCAAGACCAGACTGTTGGTTGCAAGGAACAGAAGCCCACTGAAGTGACCTAAAGCCAAGGGAAGGTTATTTTAAGACTATATATCATATCTACAGGTGAACTGCAGCTGGAGTTCCTGGGAAACACAGGCAGGAGCTATGAAGCCATGAGAGACCCAAACACCCAGCTGCATACTTCTCTGTTTTCTACTCTATCATCTTCTCTGCAAAATAGTTTTCTCTTCTTTTTCATGGTTTTGATGCCTAGCAACTCATTTGTACATGACTTTTATTGCTATGAAATCTACTCAGCCTGAACTCTATGGGACCTTTCAGTTTCTCACAATTCTTGGATCTCTTGTTACTGAGGAATCACAACAATTAAATTAGATAACATTTTGTTGAAAAGGCTCTCACATTTTTTGACACAATATAAAAAGACACCCAATTTTTTTAAGTACCAGTATCTTTGCTGCAAAATGTGAATGCTAATAGTGTCAATGTCATAAGGTCTCTGTAAAATTCTAGCATAGTGCCTCCCATATAGTAACTACTTTATAAATATTAGGTTATGTTATGGTTACTGTTATGGTTATTACTAAATTCATCGTGAAAATTATTTTAAGGATTTAAAAAAAATGAATGACCTACTTCATCTGAGTGGGTAGACTTCATGAATGCCTCAATTCCCACATAAATTCTCAGGGCAGAGGGCATCTTGTCATTTGATAAAGAAGAGCACAAGTAATAATCCCGACGGCTCTGTAAAGCACACCATCATCCATCACAGCCTCTCAAGGCCAGGTGCCAATGGGAAAAGACAGAAATGCTCTTATTCCTGTTCGGGGTAAAGGAATGTGGAGTTAAACAGAGACAGTGATAACATCATTTAAAACAAAGTTTACTGAGATGGCTTCATTAATCGCTAGGCAGGAGCTCGCTCATAATGTAAGGGGGATGAGCTGGGGGAACAATCGGTGCTGTTCACAGTCCTCTCTGTGTCTTGGTCCAGTGGAAAAGAATTTGATGAAGTACATAATAGGCAGTTTCCCGCCAAATCATCATACACACAGGGAATTCAATAATGAACATTTTCCAAACCATCAATCGACCTGATGCATATCTACAAATGAGGACAGCCTGGCATGAACTTTGGAGATACCGCAACAAGACATGCAGACATGTTTTAATTTCATGTTTCTTAAGAAATTAGCAAAGAATGTGCTTAGTGATACTCTAAACATAGCACAGCACCATCTGATTAATGAAACATGTCAGCTCAGCTATCAACACTTCACATTTATTATGTTCAATGACATTCTTGTCTTATATCTCAAAATAACAGGTGTTTCAGCAATGAAAAGTTAAGACAAAAGTGTGAAGCAAAGGCTTTTAAAATTTTGCAGCAACACAGTTTTTGACAGAGGGCTTCCGACTGTTCAATTTGATGGCCATACAAACTTATAAAAGCTGAAGTGTAGGGTTTCCCAGGGGATGACATAATGAAATTAATGCACTCATGAATATTTATGGTTGGAAGAGGCCATCTGTTCACCACCAACCTCTTTTCTTTGAACAACTCACAAATACCCAACCCTACCCCCCCATGCCTACCCCTCCATCCACAAAAAAATGTATTTTTTATTCATCTGAAGATCTTAAAAATCAGTTTTGTTTCATCTCAGGAGAGAAATATAATTGCAAGAGAAATGCTTCCATTGTCAGACTAAAAATAATAAATTAATTGATCAGAGAGTGCTTATGCAAACACTGTGGGCCTCTGAAGTCCCCTGCTGCTCTTGCACCCTTTGGGAATGAAGCTCCTTACTCCTCACCTACACTGAAAGCCAAGGGAATCTCATTCTTGGGCTACAAATATGAGAACAGGAGCAATGTCAATAACAGCAGAGTGAACAGCACTCCATCATTCAGGAATTTGGAGGTAGCTCCAGTCGCTGCACATTCAGGTTCAATCTTAAGTATTTCCCCTGATCCTTTTGGAGTCCATGACTCCACACTAGTTTTGTAAACAGAGGATAAGGCCAATCTTACTGTCCAAAGGTGAACAAAAAGAAATTTTCAAGAAGTCAACAAAGAATAAGAGATGAATTTCTTGGGAAAATTGATTGCAAAATTGTTCTTTTTTTTTTTTTTTTGGTCAACCAAATCATATTTGAAATGTACAAGGAATACTTGTGCATTACTTATAGGATTCTTTTGGTAAATCTTTTATAAAGTGGATGCATATGAAAAGAACAATCACTCCTAATTTCTCTGCTTTGCAGTTTCAACTCTATGAATATCTTGCCTTCTTAAAGTAAGGAATGCTTCTAGTCAGTATTTCAGAAGAAAAATAATCTAAGGTTAAACTCACCTCACAACAAAGTAGAACTTGAAAAATAAAAAAGCACAGTCAGAGCAATAGCCCCTGGGCTTTACTGAATTTTTTCAAACTAGCCTGCTTGTGGATATAGTCTGTGATAAATTATTCGTTTTACCAGGAAACTGAAAACCATTTGACAACAGTATTATTAAGTTCCAAAAAGTAGTAAGATGGATTCAGAAGAGCATATTCTGGGATGAGAAGACTGTGTTCTAAAGTTCTAAATACATCCTCCATGCAGTTTAGCAGTGTGACCTTGGGCAATCCACCCGCGGTTTCTAACACTCTGTATTTTAACCTGTTAAATTGAAATAGCAATACCAACCTTATGGTGCTATTAGGATGATCTGGTAAAGTAAGAGTAAATGAAAGCACTGTACAAACAAAAATGACTTTATAAAAATAAGGCTGAAACACATGTTAAATGAGTTAATTTACACATTACTTTCCTAATAAAAATAAAATGCACTTACTCCCCCAGTCACTTCTCGCCATCAGGCATGCTGGTCTCTAAATGGTCACCTGAACAGACTTAAACAGTTGCATTGATCATTGCTCTCTTAGCTTGCTACAGTGACAAGTAACTGAAAATAGCTTGAAGTATTAGAAGTGTGCCCTACATATGCAGATCTTAAGTCTCCAGAACACCAGCACCACACCCTAAAGGGAAGCTATCCAAGGAGAAGAGAGCTCTGAGACCACCTTGCAGAAGCCATTTCACATCTCTGTGGTCAGCTGCCTGTCTACAAGTCATTGGATGGCACTGTCTCAAAGGCATCTTCAGGCTCTGAAATTCTGAGATGTTTAGAGAACAGTATGGCAGGACGAGCACTAGGCTGGGACCCACCAACTGGCTATGTGGTTTTGGATGAAACAAGTTACAGAACCTCTCTGGGCACTAGTTGGTCCATTTGCAAAGGGAAGGGTGAGCTGTGCATCTTCTGAGATCCCTCCCATGCTCATACTCTATGCTGCTGTAATGTAGTGAAGTAGAGACAAGGATCTGAGGACAAGCTGCCTGGTACCACATAAACTGTTTTCAAAAGTTTAAAGCTATGCAGGCAGGCCCTCTAAAATTCAAAAAAAAAATCTCATTTTCTTTTGTGGCGTTAAGGCAGAACAGGAGACTTGTGTATGCAACTGATTCTTTTTAGACAAATGAGGGGTCTAGAGAAAACATGTCATGGGTTAATTTTTTTTTAAGACATAATGTCATTCTTTTAATTAAAAAAAAAGAAATGCTACATCCTTGGAATCATGTTAGCTGGGTCTAAAGAGCTTTGCACAGTTAGAACATCACAAATATATTTTCTCAATACTTCAAAGTTGTAAATTGATATAAGCTACCCAAGGGAAATGGTAAAACTTCAGTTTGACAGAAATGCCAAATTTTGATGGTTTGATGATTTGTTTCAATTATGCAAATCTTTTATTATATTAGATCAGTTTTCAGAATGTACATTATAATACTGTGCCAGGTCCTATACAGAACAAGTAAGTTAATTTAGCAGAGGATTTTATGACAAAGGGACAAATAACTACTTCAAAATGATACCGCGGCCATGAAGGGACTTGGACAAGCACAAGGACCAGCCCCAGGATCCCTGCTCCATGTTAATCCTGACTCCACAACACACACTGAAAAAGAATTTGTGCAAGATGAAAGTGTTGGGTAAAGTCAATGGTAATTTTTGTTTGGATTGGCTAATAACTGTTTATTGGAGTACACTTCTTACATGATTGGAAGCCTGAGTAACGGCTTAGTCAATAAAATACTCATAGTGAATGGATACAGAATGATTTCAAAATTTAGCATTGAAAGCCAGCTGGCTTCTGACAGGAATTGCTTGATTTTATGCATTTAATCAAATTCATTAATAAAGCAAAGTAGAGAGGGTTATCTAGAATATAACTTCTTCCTTTGAAACCACTTTTTATTTTAACAGCTTTATTAATGTACACTTTACATAACATAAAATTCACCTATTTAAAGTACATAATACATTGACTTCACACATTCACAGAGTTGCACAAACATCATCAAAATGCAATTTCAGAACATTTCCATCACTCTGAAAAGATCCCACAGGGCCACTTGCAGTTAGTCCCCCTCCCTGCCTGGGAAACCACTAATCTGCTTTTTTTTTTTATAGATTTGCCTTTTCTGGACATTTCGCCTAAATAGAATCATACAACATATAGCCTTTTGCACCTGGCTTGTTTCACTTGGCTGAGTGTGTTTGAGGCCAATGCATGTTGTAGAACATATCAGTATTTAATTCCTTTTTACTGCTGAACAGTATTCGATTGTATGGGTCTAGCAGATTTTCCTTATCACCTGTTGATATACATTTGGTTTGTTTCTACTTCTTGGCTATTATGAATAATGGTGCTATGAACATTTGTGTATAACTCTTTGTAGGGAGGTAGTTTTCATTTCCCTAATGGTAGTTATCTAGACATGGCATTACTATGTGAAATGATAAAAATATGTTTAACTTTTTAAGAAAATACCAAGCTGTTTTCTTCAGTCACTTTTACATTCCTGGGATATAAAGGAATCCAGTTTATCCACATCCTCACCAATATATGTCATGGCCTGTCTTTTTAACTAAAGCCATTTTAGTGGATGTGAAGGATCTCATTGTGGTGATACTTTGCTTTTCTCTAATAACAAATGATGTGGAGCATCTTTTCATATGATTATTACTCATTCGTGTCTCTTCTTTGATGAAATGTCTATTCAAATCTGTTCAATTTCAATCAGGTAATTTGTCTTATTATTAAATTGTGAAAGTTCTTTATATATTCTGGATATAAGTCCATTAATAGACATAATTTTCAATATTTCTTCCAGTCTATAGCTTAGTTTTCATTTTTAAAGTTGTGTTATTTGAAGCACAAAAGTCTTTATTTTGATTAAGTTTGACTCAGCAATTTCTTTCATGGATTATGCTTTTGATGCCATTTCTAAGTAGTCTCTGCCTAACCCAAATTTTCCTCATAAAATTTTTAGTTCTTACATTTAGGTCTGATTCATTTAATTTTTGTGTACAGTATGAGGTAAAGGTCTAAATTAATCTCTTTGCACATGCATACTAAATTATTCCAGCAATATATGTTAAAAAGAATATTGTTTTTCTCAATACCCCTTTGTTGAAAATCAATTGGCCATAAATACAAGGTCACTTATTTTTTTTTTAATTAGGGGAGCATTTATTTGCATTATGAAAGAAAATTTTAATGAAAAAATATTTTAGCAAGATACAAGAATAGCTAGCTGTAAAGGAAAAAACTTACAAACTGGACTATAGTAAATACATAAGGGATACATTTAACATACGTAAAAAATATACATGTGAAATATGCATTGCAATATATCTAAGATCACTTATTTTTAATGAGGAAATTTGGAATAGTGCTTAAGAGTTTGGCTATGGATCTGAACAACCAAG